TTTGTGACATTTCATCATGGATCTGCTTTGCACCTTTCCCTTGGAGAAACAGGAACTTGGTTATGATCCTATTTTCTTCCACATTGAACTTTTCTGGAGGTGCTGCCATTTTCACTTTGGACCTGAACATTAAAGATAAGTTAAAATCATAGGTAGTTGATTTTTGCACCATTGAATACAGACAAATTGGCCAATACACCCTCAATTTATAGCTTTCTAGCTCAATTTTTTTCTGGGAAAAGTTCAATACTTATCAGCACCCCCTTGTATCTGCATTAGCTCTTGCCGCATCTTAATTTCTTATACTTTTGCCACCTTGGATTTATAATATATGCTTATTGGTTTTATTTTATTTTTTAATATGTAAACCATCCAAAGTAGACCTTTGGTCTAGATGGGTGGGATAGAAATCCAACAAATAAATAAATAAAATTAGCTGCTATGCCTGCTTCAGTGTGGTGATCTTGGTGAGCAAACTCTCCTCATCCCTGTTACCAATAATGTGATAGTAGTTGCGCAGATGCAGAAGAGATAAAATCAGAAGTCAATTAAACACCAGCCGTGCAAGGTTGAAATGTTTTGAAATGACCAAAGAATTTCTGGCAATATGGTGTTATGTCATGGTGTGTTCAGTAGTTTGAGGCCATGGCTTGGAGATTAAAACGAATCTACCCCATTCAGTTTTTGTGCCAGAATCCTGCTGGCAGATATGGTGCATATGTGTGCTGTTTGGGGGGAGCAACCACATTTGCCCTGCCGACTTTTGGCCTGCAGTTGTGCAAGTCGCATGTCGCACCATTGCAAAGAAGGAGGTCTTCTATTTGTGGAAAGTGCTCATGAATATCCCTTTGCATAATTGGAAGGAAGGGGTTGACCATGTGTGCAAGAGGCCAGTGCTGGTGCAGAAAGATACTTGAATGAAACTATTCCATATGATTCCCATGTAGTCAAGCTCTGGGAGTGATCTGGTACTATGAACTGAAAAAGAAACTCTGAAAAGAGCAGCTCAAAGTCTTGGTTCTCACCTCAGTACTTCTGATGAACGCTTAGAATAATGAGGATGGTCAGTCTCTTATGTGATGTAACCACTTTAAGAAGTGATATAAGAGTAGGATAGCATTTATGTTCAGGTAGATGTACATACGGACACATATATAATACAAGTGTGTAACTTATTTTTAGATTATAGATCCTTATGTAGCCAAACAGTATTGAATAGCCATTTGGCCAATTCTCTGGATATTCATGATGGAGAGGTTTGTGGCTTGTGACTGTGGATAGCAGAGAAACTTTAGAAGGAGAGTCCTTTGAAGTTAAATATTCCATAATAAATAATGCTGCTTTGCATTTATATTGGGCTTTTCCAAATCTAGTTCACCCCCAACCCTCCCCAGTCAGCCTGACCAGTATTTGCAGAAGAAATTTGTAGCCCTAAATGTCCAAAGGGCATCCAGTTGTGCAGAGTTTCTCTATTATTTAATGGCTCTTAAAGCACTTCATGTGCCGTATACCATTAACACACAACAAATGCTTACAAGAGATCAGTATTGTAGCCAAAATAGCGGGAGGGGGGAATGAGACTAAGAATTTGGCACCTTGCCTGAATCCCCTCCAAAGTCCATAGCAAAGGTCAGGGATAGTGACAAGTCTTTGTGTCCAAGTCTTTGGTACCAAGCACCAAGTCTTGAGTCCCTGTTAAAAACAAGCTTTTTCCCTAGAAAAGAAGGGACCAGGTGTGTGGGTTCTGAGTTGTGAGTTGAATCCAAGTCATTGAATGGAAAGAAAAAAAAAACTAGTCAAGTCTGAGTTGAGTTACTGGTGCGACATAAGTCCGGCTTGACAGCAAATAAAAATAGAATGTGTTCTCCTCCGACTTAAGTCCCCATCCCTGGCAAGGGTTAGTCTTATACAGGACATTTCTTCTCTCACAGTTGAATCTTTTAATTGCTGTGCTAAAATAACATCTGTAATGACATTTTTCACTTTCATGTTGATCCTTGGCCTCTGTATGGTGCCAGTTCTGTTCCTACAACTGCACATAAGCAACACCAAGCACCTTTTTATGTTGTTTAGCAAAGCAGCCTTGCTTGCTGGTTGGCAGTGCTACTGTAGTGTACGAAGTGCCATTACATAAGATATCTCAGTACATTCATTTGTTTTGTAACTTCTTCTAGGTATCAATTGTGGACAGCGGTGTTCGGGGGACCATTGCAGTGGGGCTGGTCCCTCAATACTATAGCCTGGACCACCAGCCTGGATGGCTGCCAGATTCAGTTGCCTACCATGCTGATGATGGCAAGTGAGTTAACGAGTCATCTTGCACATTCTTAACAGCAACCCTCCCGTGTGTCTATTTTTTTCCCCTAGATGATTGTGTAGCAAAAAAGTGGGACTGCCAACCCATTAGAGAAATTTTGGTTGATTTAAGTAGGCTTGCCCATGAATAGCTATTGCTTGTGAGATGGAGAACAATTACACATGTTCTTTGGCCATAGGTAATCGATTGTCCACCTTCAGTCCTCAGATGTTAGACTACAAACCTGTTCTGTCCAACCACTGTCCGTCTTGGCTTGAAATTATGGATGTTGTAGTTCGGCGTTATCTGAGGACTTGAAGATGGGCACCATTGTTTCACATGATGCTCCCATGGCACTGCTGGCACTCTCCTGAATGTGAGAAAGAAGAGGTGGTATAAGTTCTTATAATCAAAACAATTAAGACATTTTTAAACCATATCTACCATTCATACATGGTATGCTGTGGCTCAGAATACTTTTAATTCCACTTAGCTGATTGAACATTGCAGCCCTGGAAAGAATTCATGGTGCAGTGTCATGTATAAAGACAGCATGCATTACTGTTTCACATGTTTGTGTGAGTTCGTGCAGTGGGTGAAAGAAAACACACACACACATGCATGGGAACTGGGGGCACGTTTTCAGCAGATACGCTCTGTAAACTATGCACATTTGCAGTGTTCACAAATTATGATGTACATTTCTATTTTACCACCAACTCCCCTGCATCTGAAGGGTCATGCTAATACAAAAAAAGTTGCTTTAGATAAGTCATACACTATTGATTGGCAGTGGCTCTTCAGAGTTACCAATAGAATTGCTTCACAATCTTACCTGGAGATTCTGGAATTTGAATCTGCCCCTGTCTTCAGGGAAGACAGGTGCTCTTCTCGTTTGACAAACTAAGTGGCTCAGTCTTAGATCTTAATCCAAGAGATATTAAATAGGTGGCAAGTGAAGAATTATGCCTTATCTAGATGTAATCTCCACCCACTGAGGATGTTTGGGGCCATAGGCTTTTTTAAAATTTTATTTCCAAGCTTTTCAGCATTACAAACTTTTTTTGGCCCTTCTATTTTTATTTTTAAAATAAAAATAAAGGATCTAATAGACTTAAACTTATAGCAAAAGACAGACTACATACATGATGCACCTCATCCCCAGGGCCTTTAGAGAGTAACCACTTGAACCATTTACCTTTCAAAGTCCCCCTTCCCTTTCCAAAATGGTACAGACTCATATATAACATGTTGTTCTTTCCCCTTTCTTGGAACAAAATCAATAAATTCTCCCTGTATATCTATAAACTCATCTTTATTAGATAGCTTAACCTGAATGTTACAAGTAAATTGATCATTGATTACGTTTCACTGGAGTTGCATACCATCCCCATATTATTTTTTTTAAGTTTCCTTATCTTTTATCTTTATTGACATAGATCTTATTGACATACAGTAGATTTCCACTAGGAGGTTTTCTCCTTTAGCAAGGAAACAGGTTTGACCTACTGTAAAGCATCAGAGTGTTTTCCTCTTATAAGACCCCCTTTACTGTCACAACTTCAGATGCACCGGTATTGTATGTCATACCAGGGCTGACAATATGGTTTGGCTGATCTCCTGACACTTTCTATCCACAGAAAATTCAATACACTTTCTATCCATTTGAAGTTCTTTTCAAGTTCAACCTGTGCATTTTCTCTTTCAGACTTTACAACGGCCGACTGAAGGGTCGTCAGTTTGGGACAAAATGCAGCTCTGGGGACCGGATTGGCTGTGGAATTGAGCCAGTGTCTTTTGAAGTTCAGACAGCCCAGATATTCTTCACCAAAAATGGAAAGAGAGTGAGTTCTAACCCCTTTCCTCTTGGAAGGGAAGGAAGAAATTATCTGCATGATCATGGTTCCACCAATTTTTTGTTTTTTGGAGTTAAGCAAGTTTCAATTTTTTTAATGTTGGAGTGGAGAATAACATGGTGCTATAGATATTACTGGGCTGCAGATCACATCATCCCTAGACAGCTTAGGCAGTGGTGAGCATTAATACAAGTTGTAGTGAAGCAATAGAGGGCTGCATGTTTCTCGTGCCTGCATTAATGCCTTGATGGCCTGATGGTATCTATGCTTGCTAGCTTGAATTCCAAGGAAGGAAGACAGAGGACAGGCAACAGGAGTAAAACAGTGTGGTTTCCTCTGGGCAATGAACGATTCCTGACAGAGGTGATGTTCAGGCAGTCAGAGGAGGAGGGGGTCTCCTTGCTCAAATTCTGCAAACATTTTAGAATAAGTTAAGCAGACAAGATGACAGGATTCCAGGCTGTACCAACTTATACAACTTGGGTTTCTTTTTTTGTAATTCTTGATCACTTGGAGGAACCCCATGGCTGCAGATACACCAGGTACTGTATTAGGGAGAGAACTGTATTATACTCCCCCCACACCTTGCTAGTATTCTAAATGCAGTGATTTTTTTTCTTGATTTGGGTTTACAGTCTCTACTTGCATTTTAAAGTAACACAGCCACAAAACTGAGCCAGCTGACTCTGGAACTTCATTCTGTGTGATATGTTACTTCAGAAGTCCCCAAACCCCAGTCCGCAGCTCGATGCCGGTCTGTGGCCTGAGCCAGACCAGGCTATGGAGACAGACCTCCCACACCCCTCCGCACGCACTCACCCCCACATAGCTGATTTGCGCATGCACGCATGCTCCAGTGTGCTTGTGCGAGAGCCACCCTGCTGTTTGTGCATGAGTGCCCATGCACCCGCACAAGCACCGTGCCGCCATTTGCGCATGCATGTGAGCGTACTCGTTCACACATACACATAAGCGCAGGGGGTGCCCCGCCTTCCCCAGCCAGTCCGCAGGGTGAAAAAGGTTGGGGACCCATCTGTTACTTAACTCTTAACCAATATACTGTACTAGTGTCTTCAACAGAACAGACACTGTAGGCATTCAGAACAGAGACTCAGGTATCATGTTGGCTTACCATGGATAGAAGAGTGTTCTGCAGCCCTGTAGCCCTCTGTTTCCAGTGCCCTTCTACATTGATGGTGAAGTGTCTGAAGAGGTCACTGCTGTCTGAAGAGGCTTTCCATGTAAGTCAGGTCCCAGTTCACATGAAGAACTCTCATAGGTAACAGGTTTTCTCCTCTTGAGACATGTTGCTCCTCAAACTGAGAAGAGTAACAGTCCTGGAAACAACCCTGTGCTGCTACCTTTTCTTTACCTGTGGTAAATAAACACCAGTACCAAACACTTGCATATGGTTAATGGTGATATGTCTTGTCTTCCATCCACAGGTGGGCTCAACTATAATGCCACTCTCTCCTGAGGGACTCTTCCCAGCTGTGGGGATGCACTCATTGGGGGAAGAGGTCCGGCTCCATCTCCATGCAGAGCTGGGTAATGAAGAGGAGGATGACAGCATCATGATGGTGGACAGCTACGAGGATGAATGGGGACGATTGCATGATGTAAAAGTCTGCGGCACAGTGAGTGAGCATCTCTTGAAGGGGTGGAGCATCCTGGGTGTCACTGGTGAGGCATTGGTGCTTTGGAGAAGGCCTAAAGTAAAGACAAAGTGCAAAGCAAAGTCTAGAGGGATGGGGTAAAAAAAATCAAATAAATAAATAAATAAATACTGCCCCATAAGTGCTTGAAGCTCTCTCTGGGCAATTTGAAATTTAATTATGCAGGCTACACATTGCCCCCCGTACGAGCTGAATACTCAGTTTACTGATCACTGAAGGATGGAAGGCTGAGTCAACCTTGAATTGAATATATTGGGATCAATCAGAGGTCATGAGCAGAGTCTTGACCACAGTACTGCAGTTTAACCACTGCACCACAAGGCTCTTTAGACTAACCTGGGGAATGGTTCTTAAACTCCCAAGCAGCACTAGCTTATATAACCAAGAGAGTAATGCAGTTTGCCTCCTGTTAATATTTATTTTTTTCTAATAGAGAATTGAGTGGCTTTTTCATTGCTTGTTTGGAAGCAAAATGAGTCTTAAAGCAAAGAATGCTCTCTATATTTGGGTAACTCCCTGAGCTTGCAAAAAATATAGGGAGCCTTTTACATTTTAGAAAACACAGATATTCAAAACCTTCCCAAACTTCCTGATGAAGATTCTTGAGCTATTTAAAAGTGTTGAACATGAAGGTGAAAATTAGGGTAGAGGCTACAGTTGGGAATGAAACGGGAAGGAAGCACCAAAAAAGGCAGCCTGCCTAAGTGCTGAACAGCCTAATGATACATGAAGGGTGTGGATCATCAGGTAAAACTGCCTTGCCTCCACTGCAGTGCTCAGGGATGTTTGAGGAAGCTGGAAAGGAAAAGGGACATCTTTTCCACTTACTGTTCACCAGGGTATGCCTGTCAGATATATTATCATTCAGTTCTTCAAAAAACCTTTGGATTAGGAATGTGGGATATTGTGCTTCTGTACCTACAATTCAAAAACCCAGGAAATGGCCCAATATCACTGCAAAATACCATGCCTATATTGCCAGACGGAAAAAAGGATGCCAGGTTTTACATAGCCTAGGCCAGCTTGAATGTTGACAACACCAATGGCAGCAGTCAAGACAATCTACAGAATGAAATTTTCTGCTATATAAAGCTTGGCATCCGTTTAGGCCTGACTGGTATGGGAAGCTGCCTCTGGAAAGGACTCCTTGGGGACCTGCAGCGGAGAATCCCTCCTAAGGGTGCGGATAAATGGCAACGTTTTGCTTCTTGGTTACAATTGCAAGGAAAGAATTATGCTACCATACCTTTGAGCATTGGCTGTTGGGAGCCCATGGAGAATGCTCTCACTGCTTATGGGATCCCTTGTGTTGCTGGGTGAGGTGTATGAATGGTCAGGCTTGTGAATGGCTTGCTAGGGAAGGCTGCTCATGTTGGGGGCCTGAGAAGTAGACAGTGCTGACCTTATGTCTGTTTGCTCCATGGACCAGTGGGAGGGACTGGCATGGGCTGTAACATCACATCTCTTGTGTGATTGGATAGATTCAGTGAAAACCCTTGAGGGCTTGCCATATCTTTTCTTTTAAATTCTCCGGAGCTGAAATGTGGTGGTGGACTGACTTCTTCAGAAGATCTCATGGGAGCAAAAGCTTTCCTAGTGGTACATTAACTTCTACATATGATGTGAAGGAACAAAGTGACTGGGGCTTTGCAGCATTGCCAGCAGAAGGGAAAAGGTGACTATTTGTCTTTTTGATGGTAAATATATAAGACCATTTGCAAATGGCCATAGGCAGACTAGGGATTTGTCTTCCTTGCTCACCCCTTCAATTTTTTTTACTGAGGTCTCAACTTTCACAGAGTTAACTGGAGATTTGCAGTGAAATTGAGCTGGTCCTAACCTTCTCTCCTCTTCCTCCAAGACTTACAGCAAGAAGCATGTTAGCAGCAGGGTAGTCAGGCATAAACCCTCACGGGTCCTTGAGTAAATCCATGGGCTACTGGCTATCCTGCCTGTCAGTACAGTGGCATTCTGAGTCTTCCTGTTCTATTTTGAAAGCAGTACTTTGGCCTTAAATTGTTGTTTGGCAACAAGTGAAAAGAATCTGCTGAAATCCTCACAGGTAGACAGGATGCCAGATTCTCCCATCCTCAGAGTGGTGGGTTAGTAAATGAGAGCTGCAATAATTCTAGATGGTTTAAGGTTCAGTTGTGACCTGGTGATGCTATAAGTGCATGCCTTACACCTGTCTCACTCTCTGGGAACTCTGGCTCCCAAAATCCACTGTGACTCGCTTTCACATTGCATTTACCTCTTCCCCCTTTTTAGCATGTTTTGTTGCTGGGCATCCCAGCTGCTGACTCTGTGTAGTGTCAGGGTCTCCCCATGGAACCCACTACAGAGGTGCAAATGCATTTCTATCATCAGATCTACTGATGTAAACTCTTAATTCATTCCTTCAAGTAATGGTGATCTTTCCAAATTACTCTCACAGAATTTGTCATCCTAAACCTGGCTAGTTCTCACTGTGGTGGTGAACTTGAGTGCGAGCTGCACTACTGCATATTTTGGTTGTATGGATCCTATAGTTGGATGGTCCTCCATACTTTTTCCCCCCTCAAAAAAGCTATATGTAGAAATCCAGCATGTCAGGGAGGTAAAGAGTTCATCAGACCTGCAGTTTTTCTGTGTATAGGGGGGTGAGGAGAGAGTGTTAAATTTGCTCCAGTCAGGGCAAATGTTTGCTGCTTCAGTGGGGACTAGGCCAAAGTAGTGTCACTGGTTGTATTTCCGGGATAACTAGGAGGAAAAGGTGGGTTTTGTACTGTGCTCCTCTGGCTGTTTTGTTTTTCAATTGGTTTAAAATCAGAACTTCTGATTGGTTACTCTGCTTATCGTGGAGTGGTGGCTAATACTTGGAACTTTGGATAGGCTCAGATTTAATGATCACATTCACTGGGTGGTTTTGTCTGATTTATTTTCTCACAAGGTGGAGAATCAATGATTTTTTTAAAAAAATCTAATTGATTTAAATCACTACATTTTAAAATTGATTTTTAAAGTTAAATTGTCAAAAAATCTGATTTTTAAAGGATCAGTGTAATCACTGATGTTACTGGTCAACCAAACTATTAACCAATTGTGAAAAGCTTGATCCATGACCATGGGTGTACACACTGGAAAAAAAGAATCAGTCCTGCTCTTCTGGCACTTCCTCTCTGATCGTCTCCACTAGGAAATTCTAGGCAGTCTTATCAAGCTGAGTTGATTCCTAAGGTCCATGAATGCACAATGCCTCCCCTTTTCTGTCCTGTCTGGGAATTGTGGCATATGTGGTGTTCAGGATATTAGTGGCTTGGAAAGTTGGAATTGACAGAAAGGGGGTTGAAGAAGGAATAAGCCGTCCAGTGTCCAGATGTTTAAGACAATGCTATTGTATCCAGATCTCTTTCTTCCCATCCCAACCCAATGGGCCAATTTTGTTCCTCCTCTCAACCTGGTATACCTTGCAGGCATATTGTGAGGATTAAAGTGGAGTTAAAAGCCTGTTCTTGTGACTCTGAAGCCCTTTGAGGAAGGACAGGGGGGAAAAAACCTCCCATGTGATGAGCTTGTTTATTACTAGAACGCTGAAGTCTCCCAGGTGCAGAGTGGTGGTGGTGTGGGAGCTTCTTTTCTGCTGGAAAGCACAAAGAGGAATTCTCAGGAATTTGACAGAGCCGTTCTCTGCTGAAAACCAGCTTCTGTGTTTTACGATGATGCAGAGAGCCATCATATTTTCTGTAGAAATATTTCCTGCATGGCTGTCTGCGTTGACCCTAATCCCTCCTGGCCATGAACCATCTGGGCCAGATGTTCACCCAGCTTCATTTGCAAAGACATCCATGGATGGAGTCTCAGTGATCTTACATGCTTAAGTTGCCTGATGCTGTTATGGTTAAGAGGACATAGCTTGAAGGCGGGGTGTCTGGGAGGGAACATTCTACGTTTGAAGATTGTTCTCATTTTGTCCTTGTCCCGGCAGCCGTGAGACAGCCGTTTGGCACCTGTTGTTGTTACAGCAAGCAACCCACTGTGTATAGGCAAATCTTACAACTTTCTCCACATTAAGAACACCAAGTTCTTTTCACCTTTCTTGACAAATACTGTACAAGTTATTTCCCTTGGGAACAGTACATCACGTTTGGGAAGCAGGCTGATAATACTTTTTTAAAGTTTTGTTAATTTGTTTTTTTAAAAAAGTTGTGCTTTGCCACTTAGCAAACTTGTTAGAGAAACCGGAAAACCAAAATGGTAATATGCATAAAGTAGTAGACTTAGCCATAAATAATTTTAAAAATTGCACAGAATAACTGCATAAAGCCAGAAAAGAATTTCCACATCCCCAACATGTATTAATAAAATATGAGGCACTGTCCATACATTAGGCAGTTTAAAATTACCCACACATTTGTAGCATCGTAAAAGTTATATCTTAATGTTAAAAATAATACTCAGAAAACAGGAGTTACTAAGAGAAACAAAATTATGAACATGCTCAGAAAGTTTTTGCATAATGGCAAAAACCCAACGTTTAGAAAGCTTTTTCCATTTTGTGCAGATAGCATTTGTGTAATATCATATGAGTGAAAAATGCATCAAATGGATGATAGGAATAACACGAAGCGAGAACCTTTCAATGTATAATGGAGTGACCTTTGGGAAACGAATAGCATTTTGTAGATATGCAAGACATATACGGAGTGAATCTGTGCACTTACTGGCCTTCCCATTTCATGTGCCCATACTGAGAACTGTAGAAAATATATGCTTTTCCTGAAGTTGACACAAATAGTCTCTCTTTCACTGTAGCCAATAGGGAGAAAATTGTAAGAAATTTTCCTTAATAGAAAAGCACAGAGGTATGTGTTGACGGGGGATGCTCCTTCTGTGAGCCCTTGGAAGTGTTTGGCGATCCACAGATCCACAATCTGGTGGCTAGATTGATCTGTTAATGTTCTTCTCCCTTGAAACTGCTTGTT